TTTTGAAAAGGTAGTGTATCTTTGTTAGATAATTCAAAATACATTTAAATTTAATTTCATCGAACTCTTCCGTTCTTTTTAGAGATGTAGTTTTTTATGGTCATTCATTGATCATTATCTTCACTACACTCCTGGACAATATGTGAGGTCTGAAGACAAAGGTCAGAAGATGTCTTCTCTGTTAATGATCATGCTGAAACAGCACCTTTTTTTTTTTACACGTTTAAACATTGAGTCGCATACATTCTGCTGATGTGTTGTTGGTCCAGTAAACTTGAGTATCTTACCAAGGAGCTGTCTGCTACTTACCTCTGTCTGAACAATATTTTACAAATCGGATAGATCATTTTCCAGGCTATAAGACTCTTGTAAAGCAGTTTAATCACTGAAAATCCTTGGTTCAAATCCAGGCTGGGGCCTTTGCATGTTCTCTTTGCAAACTCTGGTTTCTCCCACAGTCCACTTAGTCCAACTCCTGAGTCTAGATTGACCATAGGTGTGAATATTAGTGCAAATGGTTGTCTGTCTTTATATATTCACCATGGATAGACTGACAGTTTGTGCAGGGTTAGTCTGTCTGTTGATGTGTTGTGAGATCATTGAGCTTCAGTGCTTCAGACCTGCTTGTTACTTATCTCTGTGCAGATACAACACCTCCAGTTTTCATTATTCAAATTTTATTTGATTAATATCACTTTTGTCAGCATTGTGAATGCTGAAGAGAAAATTTTGGCTGTTAAGTAGTGATGTGCGGATCGATCCTGAAATATCGATTCCTCCGATAATTTATGTTCTAGAATCGATTCTCACATTAAAATATCGATATTTTAGTAATTTAGGGTAAATTTGTAGTTTATCATTAACAGGAACACAGTGGAAAGAAACTATAACATTCACATTGTCTACATTCAAAGGAACTACTTCCTCTTCCGCCTTTCATAGTCATTTGCGAAATAGGCTCTGTCTCGCAGCCCCTTGGCGTGCGCACTCACAACACTGGCTGAGCGTAATTGGAGTCATGTGCGAACCTATTTTACCTCCACAAAAACTGAGAGGTGGTTTGCGATACATGTGGTAAAAACGTGAGGTGTTGTGGCCACACTAGGGAGACATTCAAAAAGGTAGTTGGGGGGATAAATACATTTTACAGTGTTTATTTATCGGATAAAATACGTTAAATGTCCGGAAACAGCGGAATCAGAGGCTGCTTCCACCTGAGGACCCGGCCTTCGCGATCTAAAGAAAGC